TATATATATATATATATATATATATATATATATATATATATATATATATATATATATATATATATATATATATATATATATATATATATATGTTCAACCTTTAGGACACGATCATTTCATCTGTTTTACAAGTAGTCTGTTCTTCCAAATATAGAACTTAATAAGGAACAATAACTGCATGTAAAACGTATTTTTAATACCAAAATTTTACTGCAATTTGCGAAACTGGGTTTTTACTACTGTAAAGTGAATATTTACCCTGTGTGTTCTAATATACACGGCAGGTTTTATAACATGAGAGGTATCCAAAATGTCATGCAATGTTTTTATATTATATGTGTTATTTTTCATTCATCAGGGTAACTTAGAATGGATAGAATATGCAAGTCGTAAGAAGTTACATTTCTACTGTAAAATATAGGCTGATCAACATCTAAACACATAACTTCATAACTTCGCCATGCTTATCCACGCATCTACAAGTTTAATGTTATTTACTACCAATGTGTAAGTATGTGCTTTTTGTTCGGTTTTTTAGACACCAATCTTTTTCACACCCCTGTGTTCGAGTCTGATAGCTTTCAACCAATATTCAACAGTGAGATTGATGTTGCAAGTAATATTAAGGACATAAACCAACCAGTCTTTGTGGGAGAAACACGAAGAGTTGTTGAGACACAAGAATCACAACAGCTTACTGCTGTGGAAGAACACGCACCTGTAAACAAAAACAAAATGGTCGTAGAAGCAAAATCGCAGGCGGGAAATGGAAACGAACTAAATGCATCTGATGCTGGATATACTGCCTCTGGTAGTGCTGAACAAACTTCAAACCATGTGATTGTTGTCACGAGTAAAATTGAGGAAATAAAACACGTTATGGTGCAAGAAACAGCTGTTATAGATACACTGACAGAAAGCATGCAAAAGTCCCCTGGTTCACCTGAGAAGACGACTGTTGGCGATCAAAATAATATTGGGAAGGGTAATGAAGTAGGTGAAACAGGCAGCACGGATGTTGATAGTACAGTACAGGTACCCATTAAAGATTTAATACCAAATAATAACCCAAATTTCGAGAATGTTAGCAGAAGAAGTTCTAACGAACTTAGTGACATAAGTCATGGCAATGATGGGTGTGCTGGGAAATTGACAAATAACTCTGACCCGGGTACTGAAGAAGATAAACCTTCCTTACAAGAGTTAAATGAAGTTGTCGGCAAATCTAATGAACTTGTCGAGGAAACTCGTACGACTGGAACGAGAAACGTTGACCATGACCAACGTACACCGGAACTTGTACAGCAGTCAGAAGAGAAGAATGAGAGCGATATGAAAGGCGGTGATGACAAACCGAAGACAGAAAGTGAAAAACCGAGGAATAATTCTGGTATTTCTGATGCGAATGGCGAAGGAGATAAAGTTGAGGAAATGGTGGGAGAAAATGTAATAACAACTACTGGTAATGACCAACAAATTGCAAAGGAAACCGGAAAAAATAGCAAAGATGATGAGTCCAGTAGAACGAGAAGAGCTACCGGATCCACTACGGATGCAAAAGACGAAACATCAAAACTACAACAATTAGGTGATGTTCAGGTATGTTTCTCGAGTATAAGCGACATGGAGTAACTGAAGACTTGGGTGAAAATTGGATGGGAGTTGATTACCTTACTGTATTACTTCCAAAAACTTGAGTTTTGTGCTGCATTGATGCATTTGTTTTGCTTTACTCAAATAATTTATGCAGTGTTACCTACTGTATATTTAGGGATACCTTAAGTTTGTAACCTCACTCACCATTAAGATATCGAAAAAAATGTTTTCGACGCACTGTATAAAATTGTGGTGGCATAGTGGTGGCATCTTACTATATTAGGAAGTAAAATAATTTGCAGTTTGATGCAGTCAAAAATATTGTATGTGTAGTCAAAGTGTATAAAGTATAATTTTAATATTTGTTAAGCTTTTATTCAAAATTTTTTTTGCTCTGATTGTTCTAGTGTATACAGTTTATTATTTCGACAGCCAACAATACACACGCTTTTTGTGTTGTTCACGTATTATATTTTTTTCAAAACTGTAGGGGGCCACCTTAAAATAAGGTACAATGTAATTTGATAGGATGAACTTCTTTTTAAAACGAAGAAACTCTTCGAAATATTTCTGAGAAACCATCCACTACTCCATTCACAAATGATGTTGAATCTACTATTCCTGCAGCTGAGGTATAAATGAACAGTGATTTATTTTTTATTTTTTACATGCTAAAAAGTGTACCAATCATTCAATCAATTATTCAATTAATTAGTCTATCAAATTAATCATTAATTCAATTTACTATGGTTGAAACCAAGGTCCTTGCAGAAAAACTGGAATTTTAATTAACGGTGTCCGTAAATCTCTTCGTTTCAAATATACATAAAATTTTCCAACAATGGGTTATTTTCCAAGTTTGAACTTCAAAAAAACACTTTTTCGAAGTGATTGCGATAAAAAATAACAGTACTGTTAATTTTGAGGATACCCGGTAGTTGTTAGGAATAAGGAAATTTTGAATTTCCTGCGAGTTGAATGTTATAGTGCAAATTGTTTCACACCTACTATGGCGTGACGCTGTTCCAGTCAAGTAATATGACATTGCAGATTTTGGGACGTAGCATAATTTATCGTTAGGGTAGTAGTGGAGAGTTTTAAGTTATGCGATTTAAGTTATACGTATCTTCTTCACTTTTAATGACCCAAAGCGGTACAGTCAGTCGTTAAAATTTGCCTGTTTTAACGGGGTATCTTTATAAGAAAGTGTGTTGTCTTGGCGTTTTTCGGGGACAAAAATAAGTGGCCATAATATAAAGGTGGCCGTATTAACGGGGTGGCCGTAAGGCGGGGTTGCACTGCAGTTTATATGCTGAAAATCAAACAACAGCATTAAATTCAAGCTTTTTGCTGTCAGCAGTCGTTCTAAAAATAATAGAACTTGTCAATTTCAGTCAATAGCGCATTTGGCAATATTTCAAATGTATATATTTGAAATAAGTGCAACACTCCGAAAAACGTGACAAATTTGCATTGTGTCATTGATACTTAGGTTTTATGTTAGTCATGTTCGTTTTGTTACTGTATCTGCAATGCCTATATATAAAGTGTTCAGTACGATTCCTGACTCTGGCTGTATTAAGTTCAATAGCTTTTCCAGTTTAGGTAATGAATATGGTTTAAAATATCTCTTTCTTTGCATTTGCTATTTTTAGTTTATAAGTGTTCAATTGTCCCCTACTGGGTATAGCATGTTGGCTTGGCGCACATGACCAGCCATTACCAGGCTCACTCCGTAGGAGGGTGGAGGGGTGGAGGTGAGACATTGGGAATGAAGTTATGTGACCGTACAATTGTTGAATTTTATGATATAGTATTTCTTATATATTGTTGTGTTTATTATAATAGAAATATACTGTATACAGAAAACCAGAACTTGAAAAAGAATCAGGAAGAAAGAACAAGAAAAAAGGAAAAACTAATACGTGAGTTTAATGTCATTTGGATTCCTACGTGATAGTTAATAAACGGAATTGACGTGTTTTTAATGTAATCGTAGTGATTTAAATATTGTTACGAGGTCGGTTGTTGGGGCATAGCCTTGCGAGGGCTTCGCCACCCAAAACGGAATCTTTGAATACTAAAAGCCAACAAAGATTAATGCTGCGCACAAGTGTTACAACAGACAGACTTTATTCGCCACCGAGATGGAAGTTGGAGCTGGGAAGTAGGTGTTGCAAACACTCCCAGACCAAGACTGCTCAGACCTCTTACGTGGAAAAATTGTCTGAGAATGCGCGAAAACTCGGTATTCTGCGGGTAAGATATATGTGTTTCCACTTGGTTGATTTTAAAACAAAAACAACATGAACGAAGCTTTCACAAGCCAGTTCTGCAGCTACTGTTTGGTGCCACAAATCACTACAAAAATTGGAATAACTGAGATGAAATGTTGCAGTGATGCTTTGATTTTCGCTATATTGCCACAATGTTTACAGTATAAACTAATGCATTCAAAATGTTGTCTGACATCGAAGCTATTCAATATTGAAGCTATTCAATAAAATGTGAAATGCAAACCAAAAATACGAACTCTTCTTCACAAAGCCAGAAATTTAACACCGACTAGAAAATGCTTTCAAATTTATTTCGAGAAAACATATTGCATTTCAAGCCCCTTTGATAAAACATCCGGTTTCTTTTCCGTGATCCGCTACTAATTTTATGACCACAACTTAATGTGTTATTTAGCCATTCTACCGACAAATATATAAATATTATGACTATTTGTGATTGGCTCGAAATTTATAGGCCGGCTGTTTATTTATGACAACGAAAAAGTGTAGTCATTACGCCGAGCATTTATTTGCATATAATATACAGAATATATGCATATACAAATATAATAATATCATGTTGTAACATGTCGTGCGACAAGTCTGTAGTTTACGTCTAGATAAATATCGTGCTTTTTGATTTTTGTATCTGCGCAGCAGATATACTATGCTATCGAGTTTGCGTTAGCTGTTAGCTTACAGCCAGTCAGTGACTAGTATTTTAGCTTGTGACCGTACATGGCCTGCAATCAGCGTATTATGCGGAAATAACTGTTCAGTGGACTACGTATAGATCAATGAGAAAACTGTAGAATCGCACCAGCCTGTTCGCAGGCTAAATTCAACATGGCGGTACATTTCGAGGGGTAGTTATATTAGGGAGTTTAAGCTTCGCATTCAATAAATAATAATGATAATTAATTTATTAATTTATAAAGCGCTAAACACTATAAATATTCTAAAGCGCTATCATTACAAATTCAAATAAAATGTTATAAAATATGAGTTGATGCCTATATATACATGTTTAAAATTTACTATTATATTTAAAGATAAAATTCCTTTTTAAAAAAGAAAGGTCTTAAGTCTGTTTTTAAAAGTTTCCACTGTTGACGCCTCACGAATGTCAGCGGGAAGTTCAAATTTACTATTATATTTAAAACTCCTTTTCGACAAGTAGTTTCGCATTACATTACGATTCAATTTTTCAAATGTAAATATCGCGGCGAGTATTTACCCCCCTTTAAAACAAAACCCACCATTGTAATCCTCACAAAATAACCTTTCGAACGGGGGGTCAAGTGCTGTCGTACATTATACAAACCGAAACAATCATATAACGTGCTCGTAAATATGCCATAAATATGTCATCAACGTGCTCGTAAATATAGCGGATGTAACTTGATGACAGACCGCTTTTTTTACATGATTTTATACTCTTTGTGCATATTTATGGAGTTTTCTACTTGAAAACAAGTAAATAAGATGGAAGACCATCCCCAGCCGTCAAAGACTGGAGATGAAAAGGGCTTGGATGAAAGTTTTATGAGCGAAATTGAAGGCATGTTAACTGTGATGTCGGAAGAAATCAAAACATATTAAGACGGGGATATTTACTGTATTGAAATTCCTCAAAAAGATCTTTTTGATAAATGGATGTTATCTCTGAAACTACGGTATTGGTTAGATCTTGGCGGTCGTGATAACTATGATGTAGCATGGCTTCGAAAGATCGATGATAACAGCACATTAGAAGAAATTTTAATAAATATCAAGAAATGTGATACGTCAGAAGCGTCTGCAGGGTCAATTCCAAGCGAGAATCTATTTTCAATCAAAGCTATTATATCTAAGATGAAATTACTTATCGAAGGAAAGTTTATCGACATATGGAAAAGAAACGAGTACCAGAAATTGATCTGTTTAGTATCAAAGCTATGTCTGTGCCCTGATATCAACCAAGAAACCGCCGGTGAACTTTACACGAACGAATTTTATGGTCAAAGCGTACCTGATCATATCATTAACCTTGATAATGTCTCGTTAGATGTGTATGCGGATTCCGACTCGGAGGATGACCCTAGGTGTCAAGAACCTGAAGAAATTGTTAATGAAACGCCAAAGAAAGTAAAACCCCCCAGGAAAACAAGAATCAAGTCGCGTAAATTATTGGCGAGTAACTTGACACCCCAAAGTCACAAGGAAAAACATATGAAGGCTCATTCAACTAAGAAAACATATCCAAATTCGGAAGTAAAAGATTTACAACAAGTGCTTGAGGCGGTAAATTCTTGCAACAAAAGAATAGATAACTTGGAAACCATTACTGCCAATCTGGACAAAAATTTGACTAATTCTGTTTTTGACTGTAAAGTTGTGAACAATATGGTGTGTGAATTGAAAAGCGAGTTATTCACATCACTCGACAGCAAATTGAAGCACCAACTATCAGTAATGCGAGAAGACCAAAATAGTTTCAAAAATGAAATGGAAGAGAAATTAAAAAAAGCAGAAACAGAAGTGAAACGGCTCCAAGGTCGGGTCGGGTCACTTGTGGAAGAGAAAACCAATCTGTTGAAGCGGATAAAAAGCTTAGAAATTGACAATAAAACATTTAAAGACGAAGTAAGTTCGCTAAATACAGCTATAAAAGTAAACTATAATGATGATATCAACACAAATCCAACGTTAATACAGTGTGAAAATTCAGTTGTTGATTCAACCAAAGAAGCTAATCCAGACGCTGCTGCTAATAATTCTCCCAATATCACTGCTGCCGAAAACCCTGACACCGAAACTCCCAACGTTAAAATTCCGGACAATGGAAATGCTACCAATCATGACGAATATGACTTTGTCATGTTATGTGACTCGAACAGGAAATTCTTAAACATAAGTAAGCTGTGTTCGAGTAGACATAGCAAAATCATTCCCTGTAATACAACAAAAAAGGCCAAAGAAATTCTAGAGTCTCCCAGATTTGATGTCAAAAAAGGAATCATCATAAACACTGGAGTCAATGACCTTGAGAACCTATCTGCAGGAGAGATTGTAAAATCCCAAGTTCAAATGGCAAATATGGCGGCAAAAAGATTTCCGGGAAGACAAATTTTTCTATGTGGTATCACCCCAAGAGGAGATGAGTTAGATAGAAAAATCCCTGACATTAATGATGACATTGATGAGGAGATCAAAGATATCCCCAATGTTAGCCACGTATATAATGGGAATCTACGTAATGGCAAACTGTACTTTGATGTCAAACATTTGAATAGAAGATTTGGTATCCCCGCTTTGGCAAAGAACATCAAGAATGAGTTGCGTAAGATTTTCGGGGGTAACAGAAAGGAAAACACCAGCACCCAACAAAAGAGTGTACCTAGCAATCAAAACCAGGAGGGAAGTCACCACAGTAATGCAGGTCAAGTTCAAAACTTCGATAAGGAGTTGGGGAGGAGTCCGCAGGAAGATACACAGAATGCAGTATTTCTACCAACGATGACTGGCATTCAGGATGAACTTAAACAGGTATCAAACTTATTGAACCAGTTAATTCATAGCAACATTAGTACGAACCATCAGCGGATGCAATACCAACGGGTAATGTATCCACAAGTTACTATTCCTCCTCAATTTACCAATAATTATAGATTTATTTAGCATATATATACATATACTAGACTAGGTTTGCTATCTTATTCAACTGATGGCAAAGCATTTCCTAAAGTTTGCAAGTTGGAATATTGAAGGTTTATTAAGTAAAATCGATGACTCAGAATTTATTTCAAAGCTACATAAATTTGATTTAGTCTTTTTAGTTGAAACGTGGTTGCCCCATGAAAAATGCAATATTAATATCGATGGTTTTCATTCATTTTCAAAATGTAGAAAAACGGTTTCTCAAAATTCGCGTAGAAGTTCTGGTGGTATAACTATTCTTGTTAAGTCAACTCTTAAAAAAGGGATAAAGTTTTTAGACAAGGAAAGTAGTGAAGAGTTTGTTTGGTATAAATTGGACAAAACGTTCTTTAATCTCAAACATGATATTTTCATTTGCACTGTATACATTCCACCACAGAATTCATCACGTGAATCACGATTAAATACTGATCATTTCGAAAACCTCCAAAATAATATTTATAAGTTTGCAAGCAAGGGCAATATCATTTTGTGTGGAGATTTTAATGCTAGAATAGGTGTTGTAGAAGATTTTGTTGACAAAAAGTTCTTGGAAGATGATAAATATATCACTCCATCATTAGACCAGCGATATTCAAAAGATCACCATGTTAATGCTTATGGGAAATCCCTCATTGATCTATGTATTGGCAATGGTATGGCTGTTTTAAATGGAAGAACAAACGGTGATCTCCTTGGGCAATTTACCTGTCAGACCTACAACGGGGCAAGTGTGGTTGACTATGTTGTTATCTCGCACAGCTTGCTCTCATTTGTTGTAGGCTTTAATGTTGAAGATATCACTGAATTTTCTCATCATTCATGTCTGTCTTTTATACTACAGATTAAATATCCACAAAACTCAGGTGATACTTTCAAATTAA